CTTCTATCCAATTAGCTAACTTATCCCTCACTCATATCTAAAACATATCTTTAATATATATATATCAAATCTTAAAAAAATAAAAACACTAACAGCAAAATAGAAAGAAAAAATATAGAATAACTTTCATATCAAGATAAGGTTCAATAAATACACTAATTCTGGTATTATTTATTCTCATAAAACTGAAGTGTAAACAATGTATCTGTTAATTGCCCTAGAGAGTGTACACAGAAAGTGTTTGTTCCACCTATATTTTGCCAAATTATACCATATTTCCACTTAAAAAATTTGTTAATGTCCTATGATTTATAAAGTTCTACCTTAATGAAAAAGTAGATTGTCTTATGAATAGTCAGCCATGTAGTGATAAAAAAAAAGAGGCCAAAAACCTAGTTTTCTGGTAACTACTGTCTGCCGCTAGACCTCTTTCGACAATTATGCTCAAACAGCATTAAAGAAACCTCAGGATCCCTTAATTCTCATTTAATACTATCATTATTTTCTTAACAGTTTACTGTTTATGTACTCGTGTTTAACACCAAATTATAGGGTATTTCAAAAAATAACTGAAATTGTTTTCCTGTGCAACTTTTTTTGTCTCTACTAAACCAATAAGATACATGTATAAGTGAGCTAAGGCATTGACTGTCACTTTTATAATAAATCCACATCTTAAAATGCAAGAGATATTTTGTGGTACTGAACAGATTCAAACCTGGCCCACCAGCTCCAAATAACAGGACTTTAACATAAGTCCAACCTGCACCCTTTACCAGCAGGAAAACTTGTTTTTCTTTTAAGTTGCAACAGAATGGTGATTATAAAACCTGGTCTTGATTTTAATACTAATCATATTATGTAAGGCATTGATCTTCATATTAATTCTAATGGCACAATTCCTTTTTTAAAAACTCACTAGTTTTCCTGTTACTCTAAATACAAACCAAGTAGGGCCTAACAAAACTTATAAATGTTATTTTACGTCTAAGACGTACATTTGTTACTTTAAACACTACCTGAGTTAAACAAACTTCAGTTAATTGTAAGTTCTATTAGTATTAATATAATAGAAATTCACTGACATTCTATTAGTGATCTGTGATCTCACCTGTGTACATAACCCATTGTGTGTAAGCTATAAATAGCAAGCACTAATTCAGTCAGATAGAACTTAGCCATACTCTCAGGTAAAAGGCTATCATGGCAATCCAAGAGGGACAACAGGTCACCACCAGGGTGAAACTCCATAACCAGATACAAATTTAAGTGATCTTGAAAAGCATACTGTAATCGAGTAATCCAAGAACTGGCAGCTTTCACCATGATATCTCTCTCTTCTTCATAAAAAGCTATCTGACAATTTTGAACAAACCATTAACATGTAGATGAAATTAAACCTTAACTTCACTCTCTCTGCAAATAAAAACAGTGATATACAAAAGCCTGATCTAGATGTACATTAGACAGACTCAAAAAACTAAAATTTATCCTGGTAGAAAACAAACAACTCTTTTACTGCAGTGCCTGATTTAAACATTATTTAAATAATTCTTACTATTAGCAAATATCTAATGTAGCAAATATCTAAATATCTAATGACAGCCACAGCTGAGATAAGCTAGGACTGAAAGTGATTGCAAAAAATATGCTTCAAATTCAGAGAATATGCACATAAACACACCTGGAAAACTATACTGTTATCTCCCTGAGTAATGTTCCATACATGTATGTTATATTAAACTTTAAATACTATTGCTGAAATTTAAATAGCTGAAAGGAAAGATTTATCACCTTTGACTTAAGTAAACATATGTAAACATTTAGATGCATAGTTATCTTAAATAGCTGGTATATTCATAATGCATAAAAACAAGTATTATATGATACAGTAGGCTACTACTTCATTATTGAAATCAGATGTTTCAAAAGTTCAACGTTACATGTAGCTACAAAACTCTGGTCTTACTCTCTAAGATCGTGAAAATCAAACAAATGTAAATTCTCTATATGTACCAGCTTTTCAAAATATGAAAAGGTCACAAATTATGAACAAGCTTTTTTCCAAGTGAACTTAAGTAACAATAAAGGTATGTGTTTTCTACAAGAATTACTCCTGCAAAGAGAGAGGCATATTAATGACTTCAATATCCACTTAGTCTAATATTCTATGTTACACTTACATATTATTTGTATAACCTGAAAAAGGATATTTCTGAGGTTTAACAGCCTTTTAGCACAAACAGGGCCATCATAATATCCCCAAATTCATAAGAAAACTTGACTGATTTTTATTTTGATGTAAGTCTTGAGCTTTGAAATATCACATAATGTAAAACATCCAGGAAATTTTACTTAAAATGTACTTTCAGAAAAATAAAAAAATAGTATGTAAAGATGCTTGGATGCTGCTTCATATATCCCAAAACTCAAACTTCAGGCATAAAACTTATTCAATATTTTAGTTTAGTTTATTTTACCATAAAATACATAACAAGTGATCTGTTTTTACTTTTTGGCTATTTAGATATGTTAATATATCTTTACTATTTCTCTTTTTATATTTCTGCTTTAATTTTTTTATCAATCACTATATTTACTTTCAGAAGTGTTAATATAAAGACCAAAATGTAGCAGAATCAAGATTGTTCAACTTAGTCACTTGAACATCCACTCTTTCTACCTCAGCTAAAAAACTTTTTCATTCATCAGTTTGTCCAAATGTAGCAAAAGGCTATTCAGCCAATCAAGATTGTTCAACTTAGTCACTTGAACATCCACTCTTTCTACCTCAGCTAAAAAACTTTTTCATTCATCAGTTTGTCCAAATGTAGCAGAAGGCTATTCAGCCAATCAAGATTGTTCAACTTAGTCACTTGAACATCCACTCTTTCTACCTTGACTAAAAACCTTTTCATTCATCAGTTTGTCCAAATGTAGCAGAAGGCTATTCAGCCAATCAAGATTGTTCAACTTAGTCACTTGAACATCCACTCTTTCTACCTTGACTAAAAACCTTTTCATTCATCAGTTTGTCCAACAAAAACATGGCAGTTAATTGTAAAATCTGTTTTCAAAATTGATTACAGTAAGAGAGAAGTAATGTTATTTATAAAAGAGCATGTGTCTAAGTTTCTGAAGATTATAATTACACAGTTATGATGTTAGATAAATGTGTAGGTGCAAAAATTAATTAAAAACAAAAGATTTATAGGGTTTCTTATTTTTGTCTTTAATTACATAGCTATGTAGTTTGGTGTACGTAAAATGTAAAAAAAAAATACTTTGATTGTAGCAGAATTTTTTTGAAGTTTTTATTCCATATAATAAGACTAGGTATAAATAGTAGAATCCTACATTTTGCTGGGACAAAATTTCAGCTTTACTTAGAACTTTCATAGCATACACATCCCCTGTTTGCTTCTCTCTCACAACTTGCACTTCACCAAAATGACCCCGTCCAATGATCTTTTTCATTTCAAAGTCAGCAACATTGACACGAAGAAGCCTTAGTTCTTGTATGTTTTCTCGAACTGCAGACAGATCATGAAATGAACCAAACCAAAAATACTTTACAAGCTTACACATCCAGATTATAAGCTTTATTATAAACAGATATATGTTGTTTCTTTTTAGGAATTAACAACAAATACATTTTTAAAGATATAACATCAATTTTATATGTAAATAAACCACCATTTATATAATGTTTTCCTGCAAAAAATGCAACTACAAAGAGCTATTTCTAACTCCATGTGATTGCTTAAATACTGCCAAACAAAATGAATAATCAGTTTTGTAGATAGAGTTATGCAATTGTCTCAATTACCGATAAACATCACATACAATAATTAGTGTCATGCAAAGTAATAAGCAAATCAAAATTATGATTCAATGGATTAATGTCACTAATACAGTAAACTAATTAAAATATTTCCATTATGATTTCTCATTATTACTTTTGAATAATTCAAGTGTGTTCAGTTTAATCGATCAGTGTTATGACTCATAAAAATAATCAACTAAGTGAATAAATTTTTCTGATTATTTCAACTATTGAATATCCAAGTAATCAAAATACTAGCATTATGATTTTTCCTCATTATTTTCAGTTAGTTCAAATTTGTTCAGCTTAATAAATTAGTCTGATGAACAATGAAGGAGAAGGCTTGGGCTTGAGCTATTCCCTTAGTCAAAAATTTCTAATATTTATGCCAAAAAATATATACGATGAAAAGTCATATTTAGATAGATGAGTACTTATTTCTAATCTGAACTGCTGTGAAACAATAAAAAATACATTTATTTTTGTTATTTACTCAGTAACCATTATAATATACAAGGAAGACATTTACAGCTTTATTTTAACCTTTCAACTGTGAATACTCTTTGTTTAATGACCAAATACAATCTACACATGGAAGATAAATATTGATGTTACAACTCAATTTCTCATCCAGCCAATTACTATAACTATATCTAGAACTCAAAAACTTTTGATTTATTTTCAGTAAGTTATTTTTATGAATTTTTGATAATAATGGTCAACCATTATTTTTTTTTCAAAAATACAGGGGGCTCTCTGAGTATTGATTTAGTGAAACACAACCCCTATTCCAGAATTCCTATATATCATATTACTATGCTTAACATTTTTCATAGGATATATGTTTGTGTATATATATATACACACTACTTGAAATAAGATTAAATTGAGATCAATTTATAAATAATTAGAAAAAATTAAAGAAAAAAATGATCTCACACTGTATTATATAACAACTTTTAAAACTATAAGTATTTTAATCAATGATATGAATATCAAATTATTTTTTGTTCACTATATTTGTAGAGGTCTTTCTTTATGCAGATTGATAGTGAACCCCCCTTCTTCAAAAAATTTTGGATGTGCCCATTCCTTCTCGACTGACTCACCAGAAAAAATTATTCAGCGACACGAGAACAACAATAAATTCAAATGCAATAAAATGGATGGAAATTTGTTTCTATTATAAAAAAATGTTCAAAATTTAATTTATTTCCCTCAGATGCACCCCTCAAATTGTTGCACTCTAGGCTCAAGCCTTGAAAAGCCTACTGGTTAATACACTCCTGTTTGCACCCAATACATAATGTAAGATTGCTTTAATACAAAAAAAGTTACAGCTATTTAATATTTCTTTTTCATTATCTGTTCAAAGAAAATGTTGATTGTTGAATGGCATGCTTATTTGTCTGCATTTATTGAGATCATTAGACATGAATTAATAAAACTCTAACAATATATAACACTGTCATGTCTTTAATCTATTTAAATGAACAGGATTCCTACATAATTACGACTCACTCTAGCTAGAAAGGAAGCACTGAATAGGGAAAAAATGTCTGGCTGTCATCCCATGCCACTTCAATACAACAAAGTACAATATATTGTTCCATTAACAGAGTTCACAGCATCCATGTGTGTTTCTATAGTTTCTTCCAACCTATACTGTGAAAGTTCATGTATTCCTTACCTGGAAATGTATTTCAAATAGATACTTACCTCTGTTACCATGAAGAGTTAGTACCTCGCATGCAAATCTTGTATGATTTCCTGCAAATGCCAAAGTCTTGAACAGACTCCCATGCCTACAGGTGTCTACATGTATTGCATCAACTTATGACATAATCATCATAATGTTGTAACCCTCCACCAATAGGAAGGCAACACAACCTCCAGGTGCATTAATCCTCATGAATACTAGCACATCATCATAAGACACATTATTTACATGGCAAATAAAATGCACTGAAAGTGGGGAGGAAGAGCAGAAAGGTGGCACAGAGAGGTATGTATCTATCTGAAATACATTTTCAGGTAAGGAATATGTTAACTTCAGAAATGTTACTTACATTTCTGCACAGCTAAAAACTAAAATCTCACACTGAAAATGGTGAAGGGGCTGGTGCTCATCAATTATAAAGATGAGCTCCTTTCTGAAATAGCAACAGAAAGGGAAAGACTGTGGGGTATGGCTTCCATGGGACTGGGGATTGCCTAGTGGAGCATCACCCTCTGGGAGACCACATCCTTCTTAAGCAGGAAATACTCTTTGCTCACTTTATTGTTAGTTATCCATTCACATATTACATTTACACCACAGACAGATTTAAGTAAAAGATACTGAGTATATCCAGAGTTAGTGGTAATATAATGCAAATGTGGGCAAAATGTGAGAATGTGTAGTGTGGCCAGAGCATTAGGCTTTTCTGTCTTGAAGAAACACTTATATGAGATAGACATCGTAATGACAAGTGGAGGGAGGAGGAGCTCTCACCTGTGTCCCAAGGCAAATTCAAGCCCCATTCAGTTGGACATGTCCACTAGGAACTACTTGGAAGGTACTATAGTGAAGTGTCCTGTGCTACACTTCCAGAGAACACCACAGCCCTATATCTCAAATGATGAGTGGACCCAACTGATCTCTTACTAGAGGAACAGAACCACTTCCAGAGGAACCTCTCCATATTGACATTCCCAGCAGCTTGGGACTGTGGAAGTAGAGGTTTTCTTGTGCTCCACCAGAGGAACAGTGAGAAGAAATAGGCATTGGGGAGAATATCAGTGTGCTTGGGCCACTATAATCAGGCACAATCATCTGGAATTGGATCCTAACCAAAAGGCAATGCAATGGGTTAATATGACTAAAGACAGCAAGTGAATGCCAGGTGTAAGGGCAGAACTACCTCTGGTGTTGTCTGTTGTTGTAACAGGTGCAAAAATGGACATGTAAATTATAGAAATATGATACCAAAGCAGTCTTGCAGAAAACCCCATCTCAACAGTGGGCACCGAACAGAGGTGAATGGGTTTAACATTCTTTCCTGCTCAATGCAGATTTAGGGTAAATATTCCCAATAAGACAAAACCAGGCACTTGATTTGTTCCAGTGACACCAAGCATAAGGAACTTAGGTGTACTTTCATGTAACATTTAATTTGGTGAGTCTTACCTCCTTCTGTTCATTTTTGTTGGTGAGGAACTTGCAACATGTTGGAATGTGTACAAAAATCACATTATGCATATAGAGGTGTCATGACACATATAAATGCCATGGAGTTGGCTGAAAAACATAATTAGGAAAACTCTCCATATTAGCAAATGAAAGCATAAGCCAGATGAAAACATAAGGGGCTAAAGTTAGGCCAAAGGCATGACCATTGACGACATACCAGAGAAATGGTGGGACACAGAACAAATAAGAATGTGAAGGAAGGCATTTGAAATGCCTACCTTATTTAAACTCAACCCAGGAGACTGGGTCCAATTCAGAATGAAAAAAATCATCCAACTGGAATTGGAGAACAATGAGAAGGTGATTCAGAGATGAGAAGTCAATGACAAGATGGCAAACCTCTGACTTCATGGGGACAACAAAAAAAGAGAGGAATAAAAGCCCTGAGTAGGGTGAGAGACAGGTTCTATAGTTCCGACTACCAACAAAGAGGACACTATGTATTGAAGATGATGAAGAAATATAGGAACAGTGGGAAGAAGATAGGAAAGAAGACAGTGAGAAAAAATGAAGTGGAGTATGAAGAGAGAGAAATTATGAGAAAGAACTTTTCGATTCCCAGAATTGCTGGAGATGGAAGAACAGAGGATGGTAAAGTGGGATATGCAGGCACCAACACGATCAGAGCCCAGGATCAGTTCCAGAAAAAATTAACCACTGAGAGCTGTGACAGCTAGCCATGCAGGAGGGAGAACAACAAACAGAAGCAAGAGAACGAGAAACAAAAGAGGGGTAGCCCGACATAAATCCTAAAGATGAGTGACAGACAGAGGTACTTGTTGACCAGAGAGTTGGAAAATCAAGGAAACACTAGAAGATTCTTAAAATAGAGACAGGTGAGGAAGAAATGGAAATCAAAGTATCAAACAAAGATTAATAGGTGGCTCCCACAAAACTACTGGGGTCATAATGAAGAACCTCAGTGAGGAGGTGAAGAATGGAGATATATAAAAGGAGCTAGGTAATGACAAAAAAATGAACAGGTAGTTGGAATGAAAGATAGAGTACAAAGAGGAGCACCCCAAACAGAAAGAAGAGAGATAATAGTCTGTGAATCAAGAAACATAAAAGGGCCATGACCTAAAGTCATAGCAAAGGTGTCGCAAAGACAAGTAGGAAATGAAAGATGTGGGACAATGTGTAGTGGGGACAGAAGGAGCAAATGAAGTGAAACAATCAAGAAGACATTACGATACACAGGTAAAAAATAATAATATAAAATACTTGATTCATGAGCATAGCAAACAGAAAAAGAAAGAAGAGCCAGAAACAAAGGCTAAATGAAATAATTCTGGCCAAACTCATCAACAGGCAAGACAGGCTCCACAGAAAGCAAAGAAACAAAACAATTAGGAACCTGAAATGTAAAAAAAAAAATAGGCAAAAGAGAACCAACCACCTGATCCATGAAAATAGGAACATATCATAAATTAACTTGTTGGGACATCCTGGTTCATCACAGTTCAATAAGATTGTGGGAGTTCAATTATCCACAATGCCAAAAGTACCTTACCATGGAGTGAAATCCAAGATCAGTCACATACAGGTGTGTTTTCTACTAAGTGAGTTAAAGAGTTAACAGAATTTCAGGTTCATGAACAGATAAAGTGCCTCCAGTCACCAATGAGTCAGTTGGAGTAAATGCCTGGAAAGGAATGTCTGGTCCTTGGAACATTTTTCTTTTAATATATATTACCTAGCATACATTTTTGAAAGTAGCCTAAAGTAGAAATGTGATGGCTAGAGAAAACAAAGTTGCAATCAGGTGAATGGAACAAAAGTGCAACAGGGACAAATGCAATGTAGTACTAAAGAAAGAAAGGTAGTTGACTAAGGCAACTAGAAATTAAAAAAAAAAAGGATAAAAACCACATCTAAACACAGGCAGAGCTGAGGAGAGAATGTGTTTCCAATCAGGTGCTAGTGCTGATGAGCATTACTCTGCATGGAAGTTGTGTAGCCCTCCTACTGGTGGAGGACTACATCATTATGATGATTACATAATATTTTCAATAAAATTAAATTGTATAACTTCATACACTCATATAAAACTCTTTTATTACTATTTGAAAACAAACAAAAAATATGTGGTTAAAAATGCTTAGACTTAATGGGTAAGCTTGATTTTATGTGCTGATGATGGGTTCTAATAAATATGGATGAGTATTTCAAAAACAGACACAACTGAACATGGTAAGTAGTTCATGCTTGCAGTCAGCTCAAGGAATATTTATAAATTATATGTATGGTCACAATATGGTGGACAGAAAGTGCATCAGGGCTGATCACTTTACCCAAGGCAGAGTGTGTTGACTCTATCATATAAAAATAATCAATTATGTGAATGTATTTAATTAATGAGCCCAACATTTCTGAAGTATATAATTTTTTATTCGTGATTAACTTCAGTATACACAAGAAATATATAGAAGACTCATTGACATTAAAGTAATGAAATATTCTGATGAAATTCTTTTAGAAATATAATTATTAACACTAATAATATCACAATTTTACATACTCCCTTGTTTGAAAATAATAAGAATTATTTAACAATAATTGATACCTATTTTTGTTCAATGAACAAGAAATTAGCTGAAACATATATTATCCAACCTCCTTTTCTGTACATGATTAATATTTTGTTTTGCAGTAAAATTTTACTTACATTTTTCCACAAATGAAGATATCTGCTTATCTTTCCTCATTTGTTCATTATTACATATATCATATAAAGTCACAAATGCATCTAAAAGAACCTCTCTGTTCATCAGATGGCAATGAGGTATGCACAGGTTAGACCTTCTCAAAATGAGTTGGTTGAGCTTAGTGGACCGACTTGCAATTGTCTCTGTTGGTTTTTCCATTGTCACTGCATTTAATAGCCTATCTAATGCAAAAAAAAAGTTGGAGAAAATATAAAATATTTCATTTAAAATATAATATTCAAATGTTTTATTGTCTTTCAATATCACATAAAATTAATTTCAACCTACTAAATATTAAGTGCCAGTAAATAAGTTCCAGCACTCAATCAATGAATTACTTCTTTTAACATAAAATACATTACATTCTCACTCTCATTATCAGACTCATGTCATGATAATTAAAATTTATATGCGTCCATTCACCAAATACGTTTATTTATCTGTCTTTGTTTTAAACCTTCAGTACAACTTGCAAATATCATAACTATTACGGGCACTAAGTTAGTAGTTACCATTCCTCTTAACAACTAGCAGTAGTAGTAATGGCATTACTTTAAAATTCATTCACTTTGTCTATTAATTACACTTACAATTGCATTTAGAATTAGATCGATCGTTTGCAGTGACATAATAATTACTATTATAACTAGTATATATGATCGAAACTAAGGGTTAGTATTATTATCAGCAAATATATTATAAATTAAACCTATATTATAGCCTATAGGTCTAAACTACAGCAATTGGCCTATATTTTACACTATATTATTTAATAGTAATACTGTACCGTATGGGTAGGCTTAAAAATAATATACGAAAATCCCCAGATTCGATTAAGCTTATTAACAAGTTATAATATAACTTAAAAGGGTATTGATTATAAGACAATTAAATTTATTTTTATTTATATACATGGTTAAAATTCATAAGCATACCTTAAATTCAGTCTAGACTTATATCGAAATTAAATCTGTTTTTAATATTTCTGTAAAATGAAAACAATATAATAAAATATTAATCGAGATAGTGTCGATGTCATTATTTTAAATAAGTTTTAATTTATTAGTAACAGAAGGTTTTTGAACGTGGCCACTTCACGAGAGATCTAACGGAAGTTTAACAATTGGACAATAAAATGAAATTATGATTGGCTACAAGTAATAAACGTCATCAAAAGTTATGTGCTGGTTCTCTTAGTATACAAACATCGTTTACTATAACATAACTAATACATAACAAGGGCCCATCATATGGCGTAGCTAGCGTACGTCTCTCTCCTTGTCCTCCCCCCCCCTCCAATAAATAAATAAATAATCTATGGTTGTCTCTGGAGTTGGAGGCGTATGACCGTTTTCTGTAAACTTCTAGAAGCCCGGCCCCATTAGATCACACCTCTGAAAATCCTAGACCCGCCAGCAAACATTTATTTAAATATTTTGAATGTTTACATAAGTATGAACAAACGTTTGCATACTCAATAACTACTATTTCTTTTATGTTATTTTTTTCTTCCTTTTTTCGTTTTTCCTTATAAAAATGTCATTTGAATTACTAAAATCCCTGTCGGAACACTTCACCAGGTAACATCTATGACGTATAAAAGTGTGCCATACTTTTCTACGTCATTGGGTAACACATGGTTTCCCAGCACAGGTATAAACACCAGAGCGAGGTCTGAAATAGGTGAGTAATACACGAGCGATAGACGCTAAATCTATCATACTGAAACCTTATTGTTTACAGTGTAACAATTATGTAAGTCTAACATAATTTCTTTGGGTTCAATCCAAATATCTGAAGAAACAATTTTAAAACTGGAACCTTTATTTAAATAATTCGTGTATACTTTGTTGCAAACATACCAAGATTGAAAAGAGGCTATTAATCGTGTACATTAGTATCTGGTAATCAGTGTTTCCCCTTTTTCTTTTTTACTTCTCTCTCTTTTGAATTTTAATGCTAATTTCCGACCAAAAGAAGAAAAATAAAGTAACGTTTCCATGACTAACTTTGAGACATTGAAAGAAATAATTTATTTCATTGCTACCAGCACTGAATCGTTGTGTTAAGTTATATCTGTTGTTCAGATATAACAATGTGTGCTTGTCGATTAGAAAAAATGCAGCAAACTTCGGCAAATTACCACACTTTGTATGGGGACTTAGAAGAATATATAAAAGAAATGGAAAATAGGACTCAAAATGCTCCAGTATGTGATGATGTGTATGCACAGCTTTCTCAAAAAGAACAAGATCTTATTTTGGCCGCTCAACTAGGAAAGGCACTCCTCGAAAAAAATGAAGAACTTAGTCTGATAAACGAGAAATTAACAGAAAACTATTCCAGAAAACTTGAGGTAAGGAAAACATTTTAAAATTAATTCTGTTGTAACATATAACCTCTCGCGAAAGAAACTATTGCCAAAGTTTGAGACTCTATAGTAAATAATGATTGGTTTAATTAGTTCCTTCAGTTAGATAGTATTTCAGCTATGGTGACTTGAAATTTATGAATTAAATAAGATGCTTAAAATACAAATCAATCGAAAAATACAGTAAATAGTTTGTGGTGTCACTATAATATGTAGAAGCTACCATGTTTATAGAAATAGTGTCGTAATATCTGTATTCATATAATATAAAGCTTTGTTAAGCATTTCAATACAATTGTAATGTATTAACAAACAAGTTCTTAGCCCTATCCGAAAACTACACATACGTAATCTCTACTTCTACAGCAGATCACTGATAACGCAGGAATTATCGATACATCTAAAAAAATAATCTAATTGATCATTATTAGTCATAGTCACACGAAAATTGTTTTTAGGAAATTACACGTAAATTATATCGCTTTAACTTACCTACTTTAAATATAACATGACTTTTTCTATAATATAATATACTCTAGCGAACAAAACTGAAACTAGTTATCTTTGACCGTAATGACATAAGTGTAGAGGAAATATGAAATATATCACGCAGTTTATCTGATTGTGGTATCATAACGATTGTCATTGTGGGCGTACTACCACAAACTAATTTTGTACTATGTGAATTTTTATTTAAGTAGTAAAATATACGTAACTTTTAAAGGATTTTAAGAAAAGGTATAACAGATACATTCTTTATATAGCATACAACTTCCCGCCAATGTTGAAAAAACAGACTATATATATATATATATATATATATATATTAATTGTAGTGATTACTTAGCGAAATCGAACTTTTATGTGGAGTTCAAATGAGTTTTATGTTTGCTGTGATTATACCTTTTCACACACACAAAAAGTTTTACTATGTAATATTTACTTTCGTTTTTGTTTTTTTTAATTCGAGTCTTCTTAGTTTATCATGTTATTATGCCAATTTCAAAGCCTGCTATATGATATTGTTCTGAAAATATTGTGAAAGCATTTAAAAATTACTAGATCCTCCCCTATTTTCAATCTGTCCGTTCTTAAGTGCATTCGTTAATTATTGGTTTTCCAGTTCAAAAGAAAAAAAAAATGGCGTGAAACAGTTTTAGTCAGCGCAAAGTCTAAGCTGTTGACTGAAACACGGTTGTTTGAAACAAGTCGGAAGTCTTCGTCATATTTATCATGGCTATACTTTCAATGAAAATGCCTTGTGGGTTTAGGCTTACATAATTATCTTTTTATTGTTTCATTATTGTTCATTTACAAGATGGTTATCACTGTCAAAAATCAATTGCATTAGTTTTGTTTTCGTCAGAAGTTTAATTTATATTGATGTATGTGGGAATGTTTTTACATCCCATCATCCTACCAGTAAGCTTTTCTATATACCTTATCATCCTACGAAATAATAAAGATTATTTTAATAATTGAAACATTATGCTATTAGAAAAAGGTTTTAAAGCATTGTGTAATTAGACGTACGGGTTTCTTTCGAAAGCGAGTTCGTTTAAGAATTTTGATTATTGTTTCAACGAAAGATTGTTTTGAAAGAATCCACAAAGACTAAGTCATCTTCCTAGCAAATTCTCCGCTGGTGTACATTTTGACCTCCTTCTTGGTTGAATATATTCTGACCTTTATTTAAGCTATTAATGTCTTTATTGTTTCATATTATGCCAGTTAATTTTAAACAATGCATAAAAATTATGCTATATCCAACTGTAAGTGAATATTGAGTCTAAACTAATATGCCAACAATCCTACAACTTTTGATGATCGTCTGGTTAAATCTTAGCATAGTTACTCGATCTCACAACAGATTCAAGGCTTGAGTTGAGGGGAATTAACCGGGGCACCGTTCCTGTTGTAAAAAATTGCTGTGAAAATGCTGCAGTTGTTAGAAATTTTTATGAAAACGTTCCTGTTATAGAATGTCCAAGGAAATACGTAAATTTAAAGATAAGTTATCACCATCTTACAAAATTCATATCGTTTATGCAGGCCTATTTCATTGTAGGCCCACTTTGCGACATGTCATTCCTCAACATTTGAGTTACTTTTCTGTGTTGACATACATTGTGACGTCATCGAATAATCGAAATAAGATACTGTCGGTTCCCAAATCCTCCTCATGAGGGCTGTGAAACTGAGCTATACTTGATAACTTTACACAACTTAAGCCCTGCAGAGATTCTAGAACACAGTATGTGAAAGAACAGGTGTAGTGATTTGATACAAGTAAAAAGAAAGCGACAAGACATACTATGAAATTGAAATGCAAAATATACACTTTATTTGTTGGAGAAAACTGAAGATGAAAACTGATTTTCTAGTGGAAGTACTAACACAAAATATTGAAATTAAATCAGTTGAAGAAGTATTAACCGTATTTAAATAAAATTAAAGAATAAAACAGAGTTTAATAAAATATTATAAAAGTTCAAATACGCTATACTAAAACTGAGGTTCTGTCTCAGCCTTGAGCAAAAGCGATTAAACTGAGACAGAATTTTACGGGAGAGTTTTGACCGTTTCAAGTCAGAAAAGAATCTCTTTGAAACTTCAAATCTGTGTCCACAATTCACTTCGCTTTCTCGCTGCATCTGATCAATCATAAAATTGGCTCATAAGAATCTGGAAATATTTCTGCTTCGAATTACAGAGGTAAAACAACACAACTATCCTATAAAACACTAAATGACGCCTGTAATCGGACACTGTTACAGAAAGTAGCAAAATGATCTGAATTTAGCACATGACAGTCTGTGTGTTCAGGATGTTCGAAATCAGAAGCTAGAAAAAAATTACAATTTTGTAAACATGAAATATACATCGTACAAGAGAGTGGGATATGCGATATTTGTATATTACAATAATATATTTTACATTGTCATTTAATAATTATTTTGTTTGTTTCTTTGTTGTTAAGCGCAAATCTACAGTGGGCTGTCTGTGCTGTGCTCACTACGGGTATCAAATCCCTGTTTTTAGCATTATAAACCTTCAGACTTGCCGCTGAGCCACTGGAGTTTCATTTCACAACCTAATATACTTGGGGAAAAGTATATAGCACCTACATGATTAAAGGTTCTTTATATAGAAATCTTCATGAGATATCATAAGAAATTTGACTGATTTAACGAATGAATTAGATGAGAGACTTTATCCTTACTAAGTTGAGAGGTGTTTGTTATGTGATAGTAAACTTTTATAGTAAGATATATTCTTTCTCTGGTAACAAGATAAACAACAATCCCATTACGGAAGGAAGCCCTAAAACAATCTTTCCGAAGCTGTACTGCTGCAAAAGATACGTGAAGGACTTACTGTGTGAGGCTAATTTAGTTCTTCTCACTAAAGCCAGAAACCCCACAATTATGATATACATGATATAAACTATGACATTACAAGCCAACACTAAAGTCATGGTTTATTATACTTTTTGCGATACTTTTCCCACAGTGACTGATGACCCATTGATTCTTGTTTAATTTGTAATTTCAACCCAGTAGATTCAGAGGTTTAAAGGTTTAATATATGTTTAACAAGTGTGTGGAGTTTTTGATCTTCAAAAAGTGTTTTATTTATTTATTTACCTTCAAAACTTGAAATCGAGAAGAACAATACAAGATTGATACTGATAAAACGTTTTCTCAAAATAGTGCTCTGCTGGCAAGTTAAATAAATACCTAACAATTTACTGCACTTTTCTGTACGCGTATTGCTTTATACAGAAACACTTTATCGTACATGTTAACATATTTTGTTTAAGCACTGAATCTTTATACACTTACCCTATCTAAGATGTCGTAAGTCAATGAATGATATTTGCTGAACTGAATAGCGAGTACCAGTATGAAGTACGAGTAGAATGGAAATTAGATAATAACAATGTGAAGTATCTAGCGGTGTGTGTGTGAAAGTTCATGCGTAACAGTTGCTCAGATACAATCTAGGTGACATATGCTGAACATAATGTAAATCGATGATAATGATAATAGTGTCGTGCACATGTCTTAATATGACTTAATATAAGTTTTAAGGCCTGACGGTTAGGGCATTCGCTTCGCAATCTGGGCATCGCGAGTTCGAATCACGTCACTGAACATGCATACCCTTTCAGTCATGAAGGCGTTGTAATGTTTAGGTCAGTCCCACTTTTCGTTGGTAAAAGAATGGCCCAAGAGTTGGTGGTGGGTGATGTTCACTAGCTGCCTTCCCTCTAGTCTACGACTTCTAGATTAAGGAAGCAGCAAGCGCAGATAGCCCTCGAATGGCTTTGCGCGAAATTCAAGAAACATTTTACAAAATACTCATGTTATCATGTTCTCGCCTATGCTTACTTATCATGGTTTACTGAATAACTGAAGTCAAACTAAAAATATCTTCAGTTGTTATTGACTTATTGAAATGTATTGCGTTATCTAAACCTCAGTAATGCTTTTTTGACATAACATATTAAGTATTAAAATGTTTTCTACCAACAGTTATTCATAAATATGACTATTTCCTATTGAGATTGACCAAATATTGTATTATATTGGAAAATAAAACTCGTTATACATATATATATGACTTTATGAAAACATACGTATTCAGTTTTTAGGATTGAGTTTCAAACAATATTCTAATATGCAAGACATCTCGCTAAAGATCTTGCGTTGATCCAGTCAAGATAAAATAGATTTTGCGTTGATCCAGTCAAGATAAAATAGATTTAGTTAATACGTGTTATTGGGAATGACCACTTTGTTTCGTTTGTTGGTTTATGTATTTATTTTAGAACAAAGCTACATTCGGCTATCTGCTACGTCCACCGGGGGG